TATCCTCTCTCTCTAATCTCTCCCTATCATGTGCGCGCGCGCACACACACACACACACACACACTTTGTCAAAAGACTAATTAAGGTTTATGAACCTTACAAACCAACACAGGATAAGTTGGGATTTTAGTACAGATTAGGGTGACCTGATGAGAGATGTGAAATATCGGGAGGCGGGGGGGAAGGGGGAGGAGAGGGTGTGCCCCGGAAGAGCAAAAAAAAGAAAAAAAAACAAGAGCCGGTGGAGGAGGGAAAAAAGAAAGAAAAGCCAGAGCATAGGAAAAATTGGTGGGGGCTGAGCACCCACCGGCAGCTCCACGCCCCGCCCCTCCACACCAGCTCACCTCCACTCTGCCTCCACCTCCCCTGAGTTGGCTGCCACATCCTGCTTCTCCCCCCTCCTCCAGCGCTTGCACCGCCATACAGCTGATTAGCGCAAGCCTGGGAGGGAGGGGTGAGGAGGAGGAATGCGGTGTGCTTGGGGAAGAGGCGGGGCCAGGGCGGGAATTCGGGGATGGATCCAATGGGGGAGGGAGGGGGCGGAGTTGGGGCGGGGGAGAGCAAGCCACCTCTGCCTGTGCGCCGGAGCACTAAATATAGGGACAATTCGCGTCCCGACCGAACATCGGTCGCGATGCAGGACAAATAAGTAAATATCGGGACAGTCCCGATAAAATCGGGACGTCGGGTCACCCTAGTACAGATCATTATAAAACAGGACCAGTGCAAAATTTGCTTTCAGGTCCAAATGGCCTCCAAGGCAGTACGGTTTCAAAGTGCAGACTGTGGGTCCATCTTGAATCAAAGCACTGAAAGATGAATGGCTTTACTTGGTCTCAGCCCCAAGCTGGTTGAAATAACATTTTAATATTCCTCTAGAACTCAGAAAGGGATCTCCCTTTTCAAAACATAATATATAGCGGTCAGCTTACTTTTGAAGAACAGAACACTATCACTTCCTCATTAACTATAGTGAAACGATTTGCCCAGTTATAATATGCCCGAGTAGCTTTGTTTCTGTACCTTAATTGAAATAAGCTCATAAAACAAAGCTGCCTTCTCCCTGCCCTGGAGTAAAATAGAGGCAATTATTGTTTATGGGATGAAATTGCAAATTTGGGAACCTTAAATTCAGAATCCTTAAAACCTTTTGAAGTTAACACATGACTGTTCTTAACTAGCAATGAGCTAGGAGGTGATGTTCAGATCTGATTTTGGTTGGGATTTAGCATAGGATTTGAGATTTGGGTTCAGGAACTAGGGTTAATTCTGGATGCCCCACCATTAAGATTTCATTAGCTCTTCCTGTAAGATTTCTGCTACACTGAAGGGGATAAGTGTTGTGAGATTGGCTATTCTAAGATATCTGCCATTTTGGGACATAATCTTGCAAGAAAAACAGTTCAGCACTATCCAATCAGAACCAGAAACTAGGCCCCTGCTAATTTTGCATTCCAATCTGGAACCAAATCTTGAGATTCAAATCCCAAATATGACTCCACCTAAAGATTGAAAGCATTCAGGTTTGGGGTTCCAGCCGTATTTCATCTCTCCCTGGACCAGGATTTTCAGCAGAAATCTGTCAGCTCTATTAGTAACAGATCGATTTTCAGTTGACTTCTGCCCTTATTTTTCCATTGGCTTTTCAATCATAGAATATTAGGGTTGGAAGAGACCTCAGGAGGTCATCTAGTCCAATGCCCTGCTCAAAGCAAGATCAACCCCAACTAAAATCAACTTTTGTTGCCAACTTCATGGGAATTTGTATATACATTATAATTTTGGATTTGATCACAATATCACAACATCCACATTTCACTTTCACATTCACGACAGGAACAAACTTCAGCATATTTCACCGGTTATTTCCCCCCTCCAAAACTACGATTAACAGCAAATCTCACATGATTTCTGTACAAGCCATAAATCATTCCAGGTTAATTCAAAACTCCATCTAGATTTGATCAAAACTTTTTGCCAGCCTGGTGAAAGTTAGCTGTTCTGTTCATTCCCTCTGGGGCACCTGGCATTTGCCCCTGTTGGAAGACAGGATACTGGGCTAGATGGACCTTTGGTCTGACCCAGTATGGCCGTTTTTATGTTCTTATGATCCCAAAGCAGGTGATTCTTTTGAACAACAATTGGTATTTTATTGCAGATATTTTCCCTAGCACTTGTAAAATTGGGCCACATTCTTCTTCTATTTATATCAATGATACTAATTTGGTGGTAAATGAAAGCAGAACTGGGCACGAGTCTAGTAAAGAAGCACCTTAGTGATATATAAAAGCCATACATTTGCTTGTTGAGTTTATCGTGTTTAAGATAAGCAACCAAAAGTCTTGGCTTTGCAAACTTAGGTGGGACATCTTAAGACAGTGGGTGTTTTTGGTAGTTAGCTCTCCAATGCTGTATGATTTTGGCCGTGTCATAAACCCTTTAAAGACATATTTTCTTATTATATTTCTTCCCTCCTCCTTACAAATCAATACAAAGGCAGAAGTGCAGATGCTTAAAAGAAGAGAAAAACTTATCTGCAGGATTTTTTTTATATCAGTGATTTCATAATACACCAGTGGCACCAAATGAATAAGTTCCTGTGTAGTTTCCAGGCCAGGAATGACTGTGGGGAAGTAGAGGTTCCCTAGCTGCCAATATCTGGGTTGTATGTAGGGATGAATAATTTGAAGTCTTTAAATCATGGTTTGAGGATTTCAATAACTCAACCAAAAGTTACTGGTCTATTACAGGAATAGGTAGGTGTGGTTCTGTGGCCTGAAACGTGCAGGAAGTCAGACTAAATTATCATAATTGTCCCTCTGACCTTAGAGTCTGAGTTATTTTGCATCAGATAAGGAATTGCCTGAACTTTACCGCAAAATTCAACATAATCTATGTCTTTCCATAGTCAATAAATGTTCATATGGAGACAGATTGTGAACTCCTTAATCATGTTGAACAATAACTGACAATATGAGTAGTCCCATGGAATTCAGTGAGGCTGTTTATGGAGTAACACATTACTCAGTGTGAGTATGGGGCATGCAATATAGTTCTTAATTTCATTGAATCATAGAAGATTAGGGTTGGAAGAGACCTCAGGAAGTCATCTAGTCCAACCCCCTGCTTAAAACAGGACCAACCCCAACTATATCACCCTAGCCAGGGCTTTGTCAAGCCAGGCCTTAAAAACTTCTAAGGATGGAGATTCCACCAGCTCCCTAGATAACCCTTTTCAGTGCTTCACCACTCTCCTAGTGAAATAGTTTTTCCTAATATCCAACCTAAACCTCTCTCACTGCAACTTGAGACCATTGCTCCTTGTTATAATCCCCCTGCCCCGCTCCACACACATGCTCCATCTGCTTTGCTTGCTTCCAACCAGGGCTGGATCAGGAAATTCCAAAATATTAGAAGTCTTGTTTAAATGAAACCATCAATTTAATTTCCAAAGCAAGAAGATTTGGATTAGTTGGAATAAGCTTCATGAGGGCATCATGACTTTTCAAATACTAGAAATGTATTAACCCTCTGAAATTTCCTTAATTTGTGTCTGAGATTCATCTCCCGTAATCCAATTCCATTATGAATATTGCAGCATGTATATCTTTACTTTGAAATGTCACAGTAGTTGGGGAACTACTCTTTTAGAATAAATGGTGCTTGCATAAACGAAGTAGAAAAAAATTGCTGCCACCTTTGGGATACTCTCAGCAAAAACAAGTATCGGTTTGTTGAAAGTTACAATAGAAAGATATTTCACAGAGATCCTGCTTGCTGCAGAAAAGTGAGCTGGGAAATACATATAGTAAAATAACATAAGAAGCCCAATTGTTCGTGTTTTATGTAGCGAACAGCAATCATTTCTCAATATACCACTGCAAAAATTGTCACCTGCTTGGTTAGATTAATATTGATGGGGTATAGTCCTCTTAGATGAAGGATGCAACCCTAAAACTAAAATCAAATGGAACACTGGCTACAGCATATGGATATACAGAATGATATCCTCACTGCTTAAAATATAACTATCGTCCTCTAGTCTTACCAGGTAGGTCGCAAACAGTGCTTGGCTTGTCTACATATCAGTAGTTTAGTTTTACAGCTTGTTTATTCTGCTTGCCCTCCGACTTGCATGGAGGCTAGTCTGTGAAATTCTGTATCCCAGTTATATAGTCATTTCCAGCAGATTTAATTATATACTTGTTGTGCTGGGTTAAATATCCTGGCTACCAAGACAGACCCTGCATGCTCAGCAAAGTCTTTTCTTTTCTTTTTTTTAAAGATCAGGGAACGTTAGTGTCAGTGAGAATAAATCAAAAGGTGATAACATCTGAGAAAAAGAAAACCTCATCCAGAGATAAATAATAGCTCCTCTGAAGAGATGCCACCACAGACAATATCATGTCTTTCCAGCACTGGACAGCGATATTAAAATATGCTGGGTATCAACCTTGTCAACTGGAGAGACACTCAGACATGCATCCTATAACTTTCCAGACAGGCGGTGCGAGTACCACCAGCAGAGCCATAATGACACACAGTAAAGAAGTAACTTGGAAGCTGTGTCATCCTCCTCACTTTCCACGGCAGACCTGACTTGGCAGTCGGTTTTGCAAGTGGTCTCTCTCACATGCCTCTATGAAGGATGATTTACAGGCCCACAAGTTACACATACACTGCCCAAGGTGCCAATACCCCTTAAAAAGCGCTACAGTGGCATTGCCAGAACAGAACAGTAAGCTCACAGCAGCAAGCAGACTGTACCCCAATGTCTGTAAAGGAAAGAGAAGGCTGGCTAAGAAAAAAAAAAGTATTACAACATTTTTCTCTTCAACAAAATTAAGCTGACTCATGCCCCTCGTCGTTAATTTCAATTTTTTTTTATCCAAACCATCTTCAACAGAACAGGGGGTGGGGGAGAAGCCCCTTATTAAGCCAACCTTGTTCTCAGAAGTTTATACTCTGACCCACCCCCTGCTGTTAATTAAAAAACTTACCGCTTTTGCCAACTCCCCCAGCTCCCAGCATCACCACCTTGTACTCCCTGGAGCCTGCCGAAGAATTGCTGATCATTTCATTTTCTAGCTCCATCTTGCACAAGGGACCAGAGGAGAGTGAGAAGGAAGAAAAAGCAACTGACAGGTGCTCGCTCTGATCTTAAACAACTATAAAAGCAGCATAAAAAAAGAAAGGTATGATACAAGAGGTACGATTTATCAGCCTCACACTCACGGCTGTTCCTGTGGTAGCTAGAGAAGGTCTCATAGCAACCACTTTAACAGCTTCCAATAAAAATCTCTCTCTGCCCCCTCCCATCTCTGTATCATTCTCTCTATGTATCTCTTCCTAGACAGAAGCTCAGGAGCTCTGGTGCGTATGGTTGTTTCTGTGTCATTAGATTTTAACTAAGCGGAGCCTCAGGGGGAAAAAATTGATTAAATATCTCTTAATTTTTAAGCTTCTCAAAGCAGAACTTATTTTATTTTAAAGAGAGAATGGAGGCGTATCAGCCAGTTGCTTTGCCACTGGGGTGTTAGCCTGTGTTGACTGAAGTTGCCAGATTTGCACTCAGTTGAGTCATCCATTTCCAGAAAATTAAAAGACAGCTTTATTAAAGACTTTTTTTTTCTGTTTTTCAACAGTTTCACAAATAACACAACCTCTACATTTTCGGATTTTCCATAGCATCCATTGTTTTAGTATCGTTCACAGATAGAAGTGTTGAGTTTGATTCAATATGATTATTTGTAGAAATTTGATTTTTCTTCCCATGAAAAGATTTAAAAAAAAATAATGAAAAATGGCCACTATTTGAGAAACATCACTAATTATTTGTGAGTGTTTGGACAATGGTTGGATAAGCATGGAAATATTTGTAAATCCCCAAAGTTTCATAGATTTTAGCAACCAGGGGTTATCTGGCCAAATAGTTTTACCAGCAGTTCATTATTTATTATTCTCCTTTTTAAAATATTTCAGATACCCACTGAATAAGTGGGTCAGATAAGTCACGACCAACTGAGCAACCCGGATAATGAATAGCAAATAGGCAAAGCATGAACACAACTCAAAAGGTTTATAAAGGGAGGGAATGGGAATAGAAGAAAGACAAAGGTAACTGCTGAGATCATGGGGTTGCGCAGGAACGTGCGTGCACATCTGGAAGGCTTTGTTCCTACTCCTTCACTTCTTGTAACTGTGTCACAAGATTTAAACAATTGATAGAAAGTAGCATCCAGGCTTTAAAATGGAAAAAAAAATCAGTAGTAGAACTGGTTGGAAAATAGGGATGGGAGGAGATGATCCGGGGGGGTTGACTTTTTGTCAAAAAACTGGAAACTTAAATTTTTTGGGAGATATTTACATTTTCTTGGTTTTTGGCTGAAAATGGTCAGTTTTCAATGTTTTAGTTTTCTGATGAAAATTCGGATGTGAGGAATGTAGGCTCTTTCCGTGTAACATTTTGTCAATCAAAAACTCAATTTTTCCTGAGCAAAAATCTTTGATGCAAAATTTTTGACCAGACCTATTCGAGAAATCCAGAGGTTCGTTTCAATTAAGTACTAAAGGCCAAAGTTTATAATAGGAGTCTAAATTTAAATCCTTTTTTAGACTCCCAAATACTGTAACTGGACTGATTTGCAAAACTGGTAAGCCCCACCCAGCAACTTTCGTTAAAGTCCATATTCTATTTTGCTCCCCACCCCACTGCCCAGTGACCTTTTTGGGGAGGGAAGTAGCTTTAGACAAAAGCTGTGGGAAGGTCTTACATTTCAGTTCATTGTGCAAGGATTTAGACAAGCAGTTCACAATAAGGTGGCAGATATAAATGTGTGTGTTGAACACACACCGATATCATGCACTGAACTGAGAATGTCCCCCCAATATATTCTGGAGAAAACATAGCAATCATTGGATCAGAATAGGTAAATAATTCTCTAGTGCAGCTTTTCCATATCGATAGCTGGATGGATGTAGTGGAACGTGCCATTAACACTGCATCACACTGCTTTATACAGTGAGTAACACTATAATCATTTGAAACTCCAGGGGGAATGTAAGGAGGCAGAATGTAATTACTTAAGACGGAATTTAGTCAAGATACTGACATTACCTCAGCTAGTTGTACAAAATGTGCCATGGGATCCTTAATGAACACAAATGGTCAGAGAGCAGCTCCACCAGCCCACTCAGACTGGGATCAATCCAACTCCAGATGAAGTCAATGAGAAGATTCCCATTAGCTTCCATAGGAAATGAGTATGATGTTAAGGACAATAAGAGTGAGTCAAGTGTTACTACAGTATTGACTCAGCAGGAAGAATGCTACATATCATCACCATTTCCTGAAGCATTTGGGTTTTCCTGGTGGTCTCCCATCCATATAACCAACCCATTCCTCAGGAATTAGAACCCATTCCTTAGAAATTAGCAGTAAATCTTGGTTGACACTAAGGGTATGTATTCACTACCGGCCAGATCGGCGGGCAGCGATCAATCCAGCAAGGATCAATTTATCGCGTCTAGTCTAGGCACGATAAATCGATCCCCGAGCGCTCTCCCGTCGACTCTTGTACTCCAGCTCCATGAGAGGTGCAGGCAGAGTCGACGGGGGAGTGGCAGCAGTCAACTCACTGTAGTGAAGACACCACGGTAAGTCGATCTAAGTACGTTGACTTCAGCTACATTATTCACGTAGCTGAAGTTGCGTAACTTAGGTCGATTCCCCCCCCCCCATACCCCCAGTGTAGACCAGGCCTAAGATTTATCATGACTAGTGAAAGAGGGTGGGTGAGTTCAGAGAGAAACTTTGAGAAATACTCCCATCGCAGCTAGCACTGATCATCTACAAACAAACAACCATGGATCTCATTACCATTCCTTCCCACGATCCAAACCTTGTTCTAGTAGTTTGTAACCACAACCCCAATTTGGATTTACAGCCTAATCCTGCTTTCACTGAATCCTGAACTATTGAAAACTCATTCATTTCAGTAGTGCAAGATCAAGCTCTTAGACCCTAAGAAGCCATATCTATTTTATGGCAACACTACGTATCTCCCCCTAATCACCCAAGTAGGAGCCTGGGCTGTAAGGTCTGAGGTCTTTTTATGCAGTAAATGGCATCAAAACAAAGCAATATTGGGCTGTTAAGGAGGCGCTCCTAATAGTGCCCTCCATCACCACATAAAGAAACAGATTTTAGATGTTTAAAGAAAACTTTGTTTGATGGCATTCTGTCTGGCAAGAAATCACTTATCAACAGTTGTGATTGTGAAATCTATACTTCTTTGTTGTTTTGCCTTTATGGTCCCTACTTCTCTACTGTTTATCGGTATGGTTTCTGTCTGATTCTTTGATTGTTTCTGTCTGTTGCATAACTACTTTTGCAAGATTTAAATCAACTAAGGTGGTGGGGTGTGATTGGGTAAAGAATTGTTTCATAATGGGCTAGGATTGGTGAAAATACTGGTTTGTAGAACTTTAGTTTAAAATGATTGGTTAAGGTAGAGCTCAGCAGGACCCAAGTTTAACTATATAAACTGGGGTCCAAAAGGAAGTACTTCGGAACCTAATTCCAGGACACAGGCCAAGATCAGAGCTGCCAGACCTCAACACCCTGCCAATCATATCATACAAAAGCTGGAGCCCTGGATGACCTGATCCTGATTGGCCACCAGGAAAAGTTCTTCTGCCTTATTGGGAGTGGTGAACATTGTGTGCTTAGCATGTGTATTCTGCTTTGGTAACTGTTAATAAATAGAGGTTAAGGATAGTCATGTGTAAGGCTCTTTCACTGGTAAAAGGCCCTACAAACTCACAGAAGATTACGCCCTGAGTCCTAGGAACTGAGTACAGGTAGATGCCTTTCACCTAGGAACTGGAAAAGGGTGGAAGTGCCTAAATTAACTGGGTTACGTGATTAGCCCATGGAAGGTTAAAGTTGGGGTGCTCTAGAGTGTGCGGGTAACAGGGCAAGAACAGGGTTTTTTGCTCTCAGGCTGCTTCTGAGAGAACTTGCGCAAGTGTGGTGATATGAAACTACTCATTGTAATCCACATACTGTAGTAAAAACCTCCAATGTAACTACCGTAATAACAATAAAAGGAGGAAATTGCAGACCTATCTCTGATGCTGTGATTTTTTGGGCCTTCACAAATTTTGATGCATAAGACAATAATCTGCAAATTCTAAGTTTGCATTAAAAATTCTCTATATTTGTTCCATTTCAAAGGTACATTTGTCAGGGTGTGAGTCAATCGAAAAATGTCCCTGGCCAAAGAATAGCATCCGCAAAGGTGGGGAAGAGCTGGGCAAATAATCCAAAATAAAAATATATATATATATTTAAAGAACTGCCTCTTTTGCAGTCCATGGATTGCTCATGAATAGATAGCCAGACTGTCAGGTTTGTCATTCAGGATAATTTTTGCTCTGTAATTTCTGAACATTTCTGCAAGCAGTTCATTGCATGCATTCAATATTTAAAATCTCAGTTGTTTCAGCTGAGTACATGTTGCTACTGTTAATACTGTAAATTGTGGTATAGACAAGATTGCGCCTTCAGGCATCACCTTCAGTAAGGGGCCTTGCTCCAGGGGAAGGACTAGAAGAGACTGTGTCTCAGAGACTGAGCAAAGCAGTATTCCACCTAGGGATGCCTTCTTGCTCTGGGGGTGTGGAATAAAATAATCAGAGGGTAATGCCACATGTGAATCCTATGTGATTGCTGCCTGCAGGACTGTACCTTTGAAAGGCTTTATCAGTTAACCTGGATATGTATTCTTGTCACTAGGCAGAGAGCTTGGAGGTTTAAAATCTTGAATCACAAGCAAAATGTAAATCTTAAGTGATTTGTGTTCCATGGATTTAAATGATGGGTTTAAAGACACGTTAACTATTTAATAATAAGTGAATATGCATGAGCACATTGGGGACCGTTCCATTAAGGAGATACTAACTGCTCTTCCACTCCTCATGTTCTCATCTTATGCATAGCATTCAGAAGAAATGTTTAAACAAATGAACAACAACACTATCCTTTGAGGGGTAGAGGGGAAAAACTACCTTCAGGATGAAGCCCAGTTTCATGAGCTGATGTACTGAATTACTGACACAACAAGAAATTGAGTACTATCAGTGAAATTACTGCACAGTGCTGGAGCTCTGATGAGATTCTTTCCTGAGAAACAGTGTGTTTGACACACTAACCTACCACGATCAATGTGGTGAGATATAGCCAGCATGATAATAGACTAAGTGCTAGGCAGAGTATGAGAGTTAGGAGTGCACAT